TAGCCCTGGACATTGCCAGTCTGAGGCTTTTCTAGCACACAGAGACCCATCAGAAGGTGGGAAGAAAAGGAAAGGACTGTAGAAGGAAAGCTCTGAAAAAATGGCCTGTGAACAAAATCTTATGACTTCTCATCATGGCTTCACTCCAGATGCACTGATACAGTAGTGATGTAGGAGGAAGGTCCAAGCTGGTGTCATCTGGAGGGATGCCGTGAACCATGGCTTGGCCTATCCTTCAGCATCTCACAGGACAGGGCCATGGAGAACAACTGGTTTAGGTCTGAGGGCAGGTGCATGGGTTCTTTTTCAGTGCAGGTTCCAGGGACCAGATTTCCTCTCCTAAACACTGTATCCTTGCCCCGCAAGGAACAAAGAGCTACCCTGCACATATGAGAAGGCAGGCGGCACATCCAAATTGTTCATATCCGGAGACATTACTGTGTTCATTCGCCCTCCACCAGACAGCTGCAAGGAAGCTCTTGGCTCTGGGCCTGGTGCAACAGTGCAGCAACACAGAGGTAATACACCCAGACCTTTCCTTCCTTTGTCATTTCTCAAAGCATCTGGGATCTTATTTCCTAAAAAAACAAACCAATATCTGAAAATTACCCGAAGCTCGTCAAAATCAGGAGATTGGGACGGCTGAAAGTGCCATCTCACAGATGTTTTGCTACACCTGTGGGCTATCCCACTTTTTATTCTCTAAAGCCTGTTGGAATAGTCATTGTTGGAATAGGCTCCTGTGAGGCCCCAGAACCACTCTTCTGAATTTGGTGCCACACAGGACCAGCTGATTTCTGCTGAACTTCTCTCTACTCTCTTTCAGTAGGGCTACTGGGCTGTCACAGGAGCAAGAGCATTAAGGAGTCTGTTTCCCTCTAAATTTAATAGACTTGGAAACCCTGAAACCTTGGGGTTTGAGGTGCAGAGGTTGGCAAGCTGGAAAATGTTTATTTTACTCTTGGTCCTGCTTCCTCTGACACTTGAAACAGCAGAGAGAGAGACAGTGAAAGTTTCATTGCCTTTTTATTCCCTATGCCCACAACCTCATATCCTTGTCTTCCCCAGGGCTATGGAGAACATGATCCCTAGAAACCGTTTGTTTTTTTTTTTCCCCAAGATGAGCTTCTCCAGTGCAGCCAACTGTTACCATGAGTTAAAGACCAGAATATCCAAGAATCTGAGAAGTCATATGCCAGGCCTACCTCACACAAAGCTCTAGTTTTGGCCTGATCCACACTTACTACTCAGGTCAGTAGAGTAGGTGTCTTAACTTCTCAGGTAGTCACATTTACTGTAAGACCAGAGCATCTCGCAATGCTGAAAATGGTTCTCACATAAGCGCCCTTCTATAGACATGAGTGGAAAAACCATAAGAGTAAGTGACTTGATGAGTTCAAACAAATGTTTGAAGCAAATTGGTGTCTCCTGAGCTAATTGTCACCAAAGACACTGCAAGACCTCAGCAGCACTGCACCTGCTAGGACCAGGATGCTCAGGGGAGACTTAGACCCCTTCCAACTTCTGTGCATTTTGAAATATGTGACCCTGCTCTGCTTTAAAGTCAACCCTTTGAGCTTTAAGATTTTCTGGCACTGGCACAGGGATGCTCAACCTGACCTAATTTTACTGATCTTTCTCATCTATAACCTCCATGGTTCATTGACTATGGGATTGCTGGGTTTCTCATTAGTGGTTAGAAAGTATTTTTATGCTCTCGTTCATTCAGCACAGAACACAAAGCAAAATCTTCCAGGTTATTCCTCTCTATTGGTCATGGCTGCAGTCCATGGAGAAGCAGAATCCTGCTGCAAAACAACCCCTTTTGCCTAAAAAAGGTGCAACAAAGCAAACCTGAACCAGACCTACAGTATTCACATATAAAATTCTCCCTGTGTTGAAATCTTTTTTTTTATGTAGGCTACTCAAACTTATGACTTCTTTAGTCAGGCAGGTTCTCTGAGCACATAGCCCTGAATGTTTCATCTCTCGTTGCACTTTCGGATGGTGGAGCTGCCTCACACAGGTTGGCAGTGGAGCTCTTACTGAGATGTGTGATAGTACAGGGGCTCCAGGGTGTTTTTCTACCACCCCACCCTCACTATCGATTGTGGCAATCCTTTCCAGGCCCCTTGGCACCGGCACAGGTGACGATGTGCACTGCAGAGGGAGCAGGCAGTGTGTCCTTCTCCCCAGCCGTCCCAGCCAAACCACTGATGCCTTTCCAGGCTTACACTGGAGCAGCATTGGGATCCTGCTACCTCTGCAGGGGAGAGTGAACGCCCAGGCGGCAGCGAGGTAAGCAATGGGGCTGAGGGTACCACGGACCTCCCTCTCCAAGCAGCCAGCAGGCAGCAAGGTAGTGTCCCATCTCTGAGACAGCGTTATTCCCAGCACGTCTACACCTGCGCTCCGCTTTCCAGCCTGGGGCTGAACCCTGTTGCTTCTTGTCAGTCGATTTTTCGGCTTCCTTGCTGCCCCTTTTGATGTCCCGTGGCTCCCCACAGGCAGGGGCTCTGCTGGGGACTCTCACTCACTGGCTGCTAGTGTGGTTCCAGGCACCACGTCGCAGATCCCACAGGGAGGTGATGAACAGAAAACCCTCACCTACAGCCAAGACGCCCTGTGGGGTATTTCCATTCTTCATACACCACAGTGCTTCCCTTTATTTGCTTCCTCTTAAACACCTACTTGGTATTTCTTAAAGGGAAAGAAAAGGAAAAGGGAAAAGAAGAAGAAGAAAAAGGAAAAGGAAAGGAAAAAGAAAAAGAAAAAAAGAAAAAGAAAAGAAAAAGAAAAAGAAAAAGAAAAAGAAAAAGAAAAAGAAAAAGAAAAAGAAAAAGAAAAAGAAAAAGAAAAAGAAAAAGAAAAAGAAAAAGAAAAAGAAAAAGA